TTCATGTAACACATTCTGATCAACAGGTAAGTAAGATTTATTATCTTAGTCCATGTAAAAGTCCATTTATTTGGTATCCAAGATGAAGCAGTAAGGGAACAAATCAATTATGTCTTAATAAAGATGAAATTATAGATAAAGGTACTGATGGTACTCTTAGTATAATTTTTGATGGAATCAAGGAATTGAATAAGGGTGAAAAACATCTAAAGATTACTTGTGATAATGCAGGTGGACAAAATAAAAATAATGTGACTATTTGATTTTATTTATATTTAGTTATTTGTGGTTATTGAAAGCATTGAATTGAATTTGGATTGATTAAAAAACTCTACAGAAGAACAAGTGTAGATTGTCTAGACCATGTGGTTGATATTGTGAAAAGATCTAGTTCAGATGGATTAAATAAAACCCAGTGTTATGAAGGTGGAAAAGGTTTTCAGTACTTGGACATCAAACCAGTTTTGGGAATTTATTTTAAGAAATTGCCAATTATACAGAGTATCAACATTTTCTTTTTGAAGCATCTAATCTTGGTACAGTGAAAGTTCAAAGAAGTTGCTAATGGATCTGAATTCAATTTATTGAAAATCAAGAAAGCAGATGTCTTTGAAGAAATTAAATCTTTATCTATTTTAATGTTAACATCACCTCCTTTGGATTATAAAAGGCAAGGATACCTTATAACAATATTTGTCCATTTGTAAGGGATGAATTTAAGGATATTACTTGTCCAAAACCAATTTATGCTGACAACAAATAGAAAATTTAAAAATAAGCTAATAAAATAATTATATACTTAATATTGAAGGTGATTTAGAAGAATTATGCCAAAAATGCTTTTATAAAAAGAAAGATATTAAGTATTTATTAAAAATTGAAATATACGCAGAAAAAATTTTTCAATAATCTTGATAATCTTTTTATATTGATATATCTTTTTTTCATTTTATTTTTTTTTTCATTTTACTTTTTTTTCATTTTTCATTTTTTCACAAAGATGTGATGTAATAGTCCCGACTTAATATTAATAATATATTTTTAGCCACAAATTTTTTTAATGTAAATAAAGTTGGTAAAAATTTTTGGTTATTAAATCACATGACCTGTCAGTTGAATATTTATTTTATTACTCAGTAGTAAGTTTTTAGGTTAGCATGTTTGGTTATTGAGCATATATACGATTTAAATATTACATATTATTTATTATGTGACCTTTTTAATTTAATTAGGCACCAATATCGAGATTTGGCATAATTTTATTACAACAGTGTTTATTCAAATTTTAATAATAATGGGTAGAGGTGACGCCTTATACAAGAGTGACCGAAGACCCTGGTCGTTTTAGAGTTGATGATGGTCTCTTTGTTTTGTATTTGCTGCGCCGCTATATTAAACGGGACAATGGATGACCCACGGTTTCTTCCACAAAAAAAAAAAGAAATGGCTTACGAAGGAGCAATGAAAGGCACAACAAAGGACATTCATTATCTCTTCCAGTCGCAACACACTGGAATTCATACAACTTATGAATTTAGAGTCATTTCTATATATATTTATTTTATTTCTAGCCATGTTAAATTGCAGAAAGATGTCTATATCATTTAGATCCATTTTTAAAAAGTTGTTGTGTTTCTTCTAATTTTGGCTCAGAAATTATTTATGACTTCTCACAAATGACTTTAATACAATTTTCCGTTCAGCTTTTGATAGTGTTCCTCCTATTCATATATATTATTCAAATATTTGAAATTTATGGAAATGATATTGATATTAATATTTGATTCTTATTCAAACAATACTTTTACTTTGGATATCATGATCTTTTTTTTTTATAACTAGACAAGAATATCCTCGAGTAACTAACTATAAATGTGAAATATTTACCCCAAAATCATTTTTTAAAAAAAAGATTCGGTATATACTTGTCATAGCGAAAGAAAATTTTATTCCAAATCCGTTGTGACAAGAATTTAATTATAGTCTGCTGTGACAAGGGTACTTTTCCTGGTCGCAATAAACTCTCATAAACTACATCTACATCAGGATTGTCAGTATAATGACTTTCACTTCAAACATTAGCTATTCATTGTCTAACTTCTTTGTTATTCAACTGTTTAAATTGTAATGGTACTTTTAATTGTTCAGTTTCTTGCTCTTTATCAGCTAATTGCATTTTCAATGTTTCATTTTTATTTAATAATTCTTTATTTTAGAGTTTCTATTCATAATACTAATACAGTCAATCTTTAAGTTGAATTAAAAAATCTATTCGAATTATTTGTTATATTCAAATTAAAAAATTTATTCATTTTATTTGAATTATTTGTTTTATTCAAATTACTAGTTTATATTAAGTTTATAAAATATAGGTCTTATTTCTTTAACAAGGTAATATAAACAATAATTATATTTATAATCTATATTACTACTATAATTGCTAGTATTATGACTTAAAGAAAATGTCAGCTACTACTATTTATTATTATCACTATATTTAAGGACTAAGGATAGGGATGTTAAAAT